TATATTTCTTTTACAACCTTGTGCATTTGTACAACCCTTGCAACCCAATTAATTATAGAAATGATGGGAGTTCATTTATTATGATTTGAATATTTATGGAATATGAATARAGTTYATTAATTATGATTAATACTTTATATTAGGAAACAATTAATTGATTAAAAATTGAATGGTTGAGATGAGGGTTGTATAGAGTGTAGGAATGACAAAGGGTGTAGAATAACATCCCTCTATATATATATGTATGTATGTATATATATATATATGTATGTATGTATGTATGTATGTATTTGACTGGACTGTACTGCCAGATTTTGCTATTTTTCAGACCAGACCGGACCGCCAGACCGCTCAAACCGTCAAAAACGGTCCGATTTGACTTGGTTCGGCCGGTTTAAGCGGTCCGACTGGTTTTTTGAACACCCCTAGGAGAGATGAGAGAGGATATTTATAAAATTTCTAAAATACCCTTAATTAATATTTTAAGTTAAAATTACCAAAATTATTAATTTCCTAATTTAACTTTTGATTTGTGGTTGAGATTGAATCTCACGATTATTACAAACAAAACAGTTTTCATTTGATTAAGCCCATATATATAGAGGTCCATTCAAGGGATGACTGACTAGTTTGTGGTAACCGTGAGATCCAATCTCAACCACAAATCAATAGATAAATTAGGAAATTTATAATTTTGGTAAATTTTAATTAAAATTTTAATGCAATGACATTTTAGGTATTTTCTCTCCTCTCTTCTCTCTCCGTTTCTATCTTCCGGCCACCGTCCTCCGGTGATACCACAGTGTGATACTCAAGCATATATAAGATGCATTATGATACCACTGTGTTACATATCCGATCGACTGCACAAACGACCATAGTGTGATACCCAATCACATATATGATGCATTGTGATACCACTGTGGTATCGCCGGTGGCCGAGGCACGGAGAGAGAAGAGAGGAGAGAGGAGAGATAAGAGAAAATACCTAAAATGTCCTTACATTAAAATTTTAATTAAAAATTACCAAAATTATAAATTTCCTAATTTATCTATTGATTTGTGGTTGAGATTGGACCTCACGGTTATCACAAACTAATTAGTTCTTATTTGATTAGGCCAATATATATATATATATATATATATATATATATATATATCTAGGGGAACGTTCAAATAAAAACCATCCAATTTGTATAAACCATGAAAACCACATTCAACCAATCATAATTTATCATTTTGTTCATTTTTTTTTGTAATTATGAGAGGTTGATTAACCATTTTTATTGTGGAGGGTGTTAATCATGGATATTATCGTCTTCATTATTTTAATTTTAGAGAAATACATGAAACAGTTTCATTAAAATTTCATTAAATAATATATGAAACAATT